CAGAATTGATAATAAAAGATTCAAATTACTAACATCTAGATTTCAAGATAAACTGTGATATTGTGCAATTTTTTAAATTTATATGTGATTTTAAAATTTACATTATTTATTAAAAAAAAAATTTCTGAAATACACAATAAGATGCTTAAAAGAACAATAATACATATAGATGCATTCAATTTCAAAAGAAAAAAAATTATTATTAAAAAGGAAAGAAATTGATTAATTTGAACGAATGACCAAGCATAGACAATATGAAATATTTTTAAATTATAAAAATTAACTGACGTATTAACAACAAAATAAAATACACAGAAACATTAATTAATGGTAATAAGTAAATAAATGGTAGGTAATCACACTTTGTCAATAATGTTATGTTATTAATATTTTAGGGCAACATGTATTAGAAGATTAAGGAATTCTATCATAACTAATAAAACATGAAGTTGTAATCAGTCATAATACTAAGATATAAATAGCTCTTTTAAAATAATTTTTATATAAAAGACATATCAAGTTAGGAATTATAAGAAGCAAGCTCAAAAATCACAGATAATTTATCAAAGATATGAATATACTCAATGTTATTACAGTCAAACCACGCTATAGTGAACCTTTGAGAGATCGAAATTTCGGTTCACTATATCCGTTCCCCAAACAATTTTAACTAATGGTTCCGAACTCCTCCTTTTTTATACATTATTTAAATAAATAACCAATAAAATGAAATACAAAAATTACTGAAAAATAATACATAGTAACAAATAATGTGCTAACTTGCTTTTATTTTTTATTACTCTTTGTCTTGCGTACAAAAAAAATTAGCAATCTTTAGCTGATGCAGGGAAAAATTTGTCCATACATCTGCCTGGGTAGACCTTTGTTTAGGGATGGAAAAATGTGATAAAAGAAGCAAACAAGAAAAAATGCTTATCACTACATTCCACTCTATAGATGGTTTTAAAAATCAGTATAAGTACAGTAGGGAACCGATAATCCNGATTTTAATTTACAAATTTGTTTATCGAACTGTATCTGCAATATCGACAAGTGTAATGCATAAAGTAAGAGAAAAAAGAAAGGTACTCCTAACTTTAAAGAGAAAAAAAAATGGTAGAAATATAACATTTAAAAGAATAAAAAAATTTACAAGTTTAGACAAGAAAAACAAGTTTAAAAAATACAAAATTCTCATATTTATTTTTTAAAAATAATTACAATTCCTAAATTAACTTATATAAACAAAACCAATGATTAAATAACGCAGTATATTTCATACCTAATTAAATGGGAGGGAAACAATAAAATAAAAGGAAAACTTATTAATCTAAATCAAAACACTTGAAAACTATCGAACCGAAACGATAGTTAAAAAAGACACTAGCATAAATATTACAACCCGGAACAAGGCAAGATCAACGGAATTTAAAAAAAAAAAAAACCTAATGATAAAATTTATGAATAAAAAGAATTTATTGAGTGCGAAATTTATTGTGAAAAGAAAAAAAAATCAAACGTAGTGGAATCAGAAAAACAAAACTGTTTTTCTGATTCCACTACGTCTGATTTTTTTAAAAAAATTTTTTCTCCCAAGTTTTTCGTAGGCCCCTGAATTTCGTAGGCCCTAGGTGCCTATAGGTTAATCCGGCCCTGATAGTAACAAATAATGTGCTAACTTGCTTTTATTTTTTATTACTCTTTGTCTTGTGTACAAAAAAAATTAGCAATCTTTAGCTGATGCAGGGAAAAATTTGTCCATACATCTGCCTGGGTAGACCTTTCTTTAGGTATGGAAAAGTGTGATAAAAGAAGCAAACAAGAGAAAATGCTTATCACTACATTCCACTTTATAGATGGTTTTAAAAATCAGTATAAGTATTTATATTGAAGTAGACATTTAAACATTATTTAAAAAAATGAAGAAAAAAAATCAGTCAAAGACAGAAAATATCCAGCTTTCTCATTTTTTTAGTTCACTATATCCACAAAAAATAACATTATACGAGTATAGCAAGGTACGGGACCTAACATTTCATTCTCTACATCCAGGAGTTCACTATAAACCGTGTTCACTATAGCAGGGTTTGACTGCATTATTTATTTATCTTTCTCCTTTTTTTAAAAACTTTAGAATAAGCAGATAACATCTACTTAAACACTTCTAAGCTCATACCTCGTCAATTGACATGATCACGCAAATCAGATTTTTAAAAAAGAATTATCTAAACTAATTGACAAAAATAAATAGGTTTAAAAAAACTTTTTAGGAGGATTAAATAGAAGAATAGCAATATAATGTGGCTATCTAGTACATATTTATTCTAAATAAATGTTTCATTGAAATACCTTCTAAAAGTTTTAATCTAAAACATTTTTTAAGTACACATTAACCATTGCACATTTGAATTAGTAATAGAAAAATCATCAATTTATTTGATCATAAGGGAGATAAATTAAGAAATTAGGTTTCTAACAAAAAGTTCCCTCATTAAGAAAATTCAATCACCAATAACATAATCTCATAAAAAATGCAAAATATTTAATTTATGACTTCATAATATTTTACATTTTTAAATTATTATAGAATCCAAAACTAAATTGTTATAAATTGTACTTACTAACATTGATAACTGATCTTATTTAAAGATTACTACACATTTCAAAAGAATGAGTTAAAAGTTCACATTTAAAATACACAAATGATTTTTCAATTTGAACACTTTTATAGAGTGCAGAAAGGTTACCTAATTGCATTTTAACAACATTTACTGAAGTTTATATAGTTTTAAAAACAATTGCTTTTAATCTCATGTTAAAATACTTTTAAATTTCTTTTATAAAAATCATAACTTAAATTTATTTTTGACAGAGATGGCAAACTTGCAACTTAACTTTTACGCCTAAACAATTTAGATTTTAACAAAGTTCAATTATTCAGATATTTTTAAAGGGTTTTGAAAGTGTAGATACATCAGGTCAGTACTTTTACTTGAAGTTTTTGGAGCTCTCCTCAAGGTATTACAACAATAAAAACTTTTGAAAACAAACAAATTTTAATACAAAATATTTTCCAATGCAACACCAACCAACGGTATTTCTCATTGTAACTTCTTCATCGAAATAAAAATTCAAATGAAATATACATTTAGAAATTTAAAATTTGATTAGTGTATTAGTGAAATTGAAGTAGAATGGGTACAAATGTTAACTATAACTAGAATGGGTACAAATGTTAATATAAAATATTTTCCAACGCTAAACTAAAAACAGTATTTCTTATTGTAATGTTTTCATCAAAATAAAATTTCTTAAGAAATATATATTTAGAAATTAAAAATTTGATTAGTGCATTTGAAGCAGAATGATTTAACCAGATGGGAACATTCCCTATTTTTCTAAGAATCATGAATTATATTTCATTTCTTTAAGATCTAAACTTATTAATTGTTTTAATTTTTAGGACAGATTGAACAAAATATTGATAAAATAATTATTGTTAAATAAAGAATAATGATGTCACAAGAAAACTATGAATTAGATAGGTTGAAAAGTCGACTGTTAAATGATTTACTTTTTATAAGTTGAAATAATTTAGAGCTCACTCCTAAAGTTTTGTATTGTGGAACTAATCCAATAACAAAAAAAAGGAGATTAAGTAATATACGTCAGGGGTCTGTCCAGACATTTTGTTAAAGGTCCGGTTTTTGTAAAATTGTGAAAAAATTACTCGTAATTTGTGAATATGAATTAAACGTTAAGTCACATTCTTTCAACCAGGGTCCAGCTTTCATGAATTAGTGCAAATAGGGTCCGGTTATTGCATAAAACTTTTTCAAAGAGTTTTTAAATTGTAAATAGATACCAGATAATGCTCAGCACTGTAAAATTATGACAAAAATAAATTAAAATTTCAAAAATAAACAGCATATGCTACTTCAAAATTTGATATGCTACATACAAATATTTGGTATTTAGCCTATACTGCTGAACGCAGATATTCATTTCGGACGAATAATGGAAGAAGCGTCTGCTGAAGATAAAACTTAATTCATTTACATCCATCTTTCTTGTTTTCGCCCTTGGAAAGAGTTTATTCAATTAACAAAACAATAATGAAGATAAACAAATTTGTGAAGGGTCCGAATAAAAGAAAAATCATTTTGTGAAGGATCCGTTTTTAAGTTAAAATATTTTGTGAAGGGTCCGTTAATGGACCCAAATTTCTTCTAAACAGACCCCTGTACGTTTATTATTTTTAATGATGAAATATTAATAGACATTACTTAAAAACATGAAAAAATTAAACATTTTGATAATTGGAGAAAAAAAAAGGGGAAAGATTTCTGTGTCTACACTTGCACTAACGAAATCACCAAGTTTTGCGACTTCCGAGCAGTGGCCCACGAGAGACTAAAAAAACAACTCAGGTAGAAACTAACTTAAGAGATATAACTCATACCTGTCCCCACAAAAACTTCTTTTAAATTTTTTTCAAGTTTGGCATCTTAGTTAGTGGAGTTGGCATAAACAGGTACCGTTATCATAATATTCCCAAAAACTGATTTCATTTGTGGGGATAGCGTGATCTGCCACTACAATCGGAAAGGCTTAAAATTGATTTCAATTGCGAGAAAAAAAATTTTAAAACATAGAGGTTTGCCCAGAGGGGCTATGATTCATATCCTTCAAGTTTGTTCCTTCCTGTGATGTTTTCTTTAGTTTCTCGCAGGCCGCTCCCGTAATTGTCAAAACTTGTGAAGGAAATCTCCCCTTATTTGTAATGAAATCCCCAGTATAGTTTATTATAAATAGATAATGCACGAATTCTAAAAAACAGTTATTAAAGTGTTAAATATAAAATTCGTGAATAAAAATGCAAATATTGAGTTTTAAATACCCAAGCACAAAACAAGCCATCGGAAGGCTTGAAATTAATAGTTTGAAATAAGTGTACAATTATTAATAAAAAGGATATTTTGTGATGAAAACAGTGAATGTAAAGACGTCTTGGTGAATTTTATTCCCATGAAAGTCATATGCAAGTCATTCACTTAGTTGATCTAAGTTTGTTTACACTCAAAATTTCACACAGCTCGTCTTGATTTCTTTTTGGGTGCTTTCTTCTTCTTCATTTCAGCAGAAGCCGGCTCACTATTAGATTTTGAATCAGAAACTTCGGTTTTACTTTGGTTTGGATACCTGGCCAAAAGTTCGCTCATTTTAAACTTCATACTGCCCCCAAGTCGAAAAGAACCAGCAGCTCCTTTTCCTTTAGTTTGTACGAGCGTTCCAGACGCTACGGCAAAGATCAAATACTTCTTTACGTGTAATGATAAGTTTTTTATTTCGATATTAAAAAACTGCGAGATATATTTCTTAATCGCTTGGACAGAAGAACCGTTTCGCTCATTCAACATAGCAATGGCTAATAAGACCATCTCAGAAACCTTGGGATGCTTACTTCCAGTAGCAGACGTTACATTTTTATCAGGTTTCTTTTTTAAATTCATTTTTGAATTATAAGTCTAACTCAAATTCAATAAAAAGAGAAAAGTGGAAAATAAATAAAAATCGAAAAACGATTTTCTCTTGGAACAAATCATAACAATGGAGTTGAGAGGTATCATATCTTCTATCTGCAGTACATTACGATTTCCTTTCCTGATAAATATGAGTTTTGATAATGTAAGTAAGTTAATAAATGTAATTTTAGATATTAATCAGACACATACATGTATTTTTTAGTACATTATTAATTATTACATTCTGAAAAATTTCAAACGTTTACGATTGAAAACTCACTAGTTTTGCACTAATTTTCTATAGATTTCTCTTTACTCGATAAAACTTTTTAAACGGTATAAATGCTTTAAGTTTAATCAGATTTTAGACATGCGTGAAATTTTTACTTGAAATAAATGGCAATGAAAAGTTTAAATTAATGGCGCTTTTCCAATAATGTTTGTTTTGATATCTTTTCAATTAAGTTAATTTTTCCTCCTAAAACTTGTAACTATACATTTTATTTATTCATATTTTAAGTTTAACATTAAAAAAAAAATTAGAATTAATATTATTTTTCTGGGAATAAATTTTGAGTTTGTGAAAAATCTCACTTGATATTTATTCTGTCAATGCTTTTTGATATTTTATCTACAGAACACTTTAACTTCACTTACAGAATAGCACGCCTGAACTCTTTTAAATCTTGTAAAAAAATTATATATGTTTTGCCTTTGACAATTTTTGTTTAACTTATTATTTTAATTCCGTTGTTTAAAATCAGCCTCAAACAATGGCTGGAGATTTATGGTTATATTGTATTTATATAACTTAGCTACTGTCAGGTTTCAACTTCCATTCCTTCATGTTTATATAACAATTTCTATAAATACAAGAGATGTTTTCCATATTAATACCTGTTCGCGCCAATTGAGATGCCCAGTTTTTTAATATGGAATAATTTAATAAAAGAGATGATTTCCATGCTGGAACCTGTGCCAAAATAATCACCAAGGTTTGGGTGATGGTAACCATCCCTTGGGTGAAGTTTAAATATTTTTTTTCTTCTTAAATGTATGTAAATTTAAAATCTCCTTGGTGACTGCAGGTTGTGAGAAGAGGTACTGATATGGAAATACTTCAAAATAAAAGATATATGTTGCCTTGCCTGACATGGTGCATAGTGTTTTTTAAAAGTGCTTACTTTCATTTTTTAAGAGCCTTTATAGGTGCTTTTTTCATGGGGTGTTTTTAAAAAGTGCTGAATTTTCCTTTTTCGAAAATGAGATTTTCTTTTTTTACCATATCAATTTTCGCTGCGTATTATGCAAAAAGCGTGATTTTCACATTGTTCTATTCAATGCTTTCACAATTCATTCAACCACAATCCATTTCGGCGTACCGTTGGTCCGTAATGTATGATAGTGCCAATCATGTTACATATTTGATGAATTACTTGGGAGTCTGCATTTTATCATAACCATGTTTAGTCTTTGAAAATTATTTTTTTTTTAATGTATATAGTACTTAAATATGTTAATTGAGTGATTAAAAAGTGCTTATTTTTTGTTGAGAGATTGACGCTCCTACCTGAGGTAGATACGAGTTGTGAGTTTTCTCTTTTTTGTGTTTTATTTTGGATTAATTTTGTATTGTGATCAGGTTAGTCTAATTAGCTATCCAATTGTCCCTAAGCCCAACTATATTTTAAACGAACAAAAGAAAATAATAAAAAATATGCTGTGTTTTGCCCGGGGTGGTTACAATTTGTACCTTTCGAGTTTGTTCTCTCTTGTGATAGTTCTTTTAGTTTCTCGCGGTTCACTGGCTGACAGTTGCTGAAGCTTGACGTTCTATCGCAGAACACAGTATCGCAGAACATCTTCCATTGTACTTCTAGGGAAGATTTCCATATCTTGATCTGTGGTAGAATAATCGCCATTGGCAACTTCCTAGCAGCGGCCTGTGAATAACTAAAAAAACATCACAGAAAGGGACCAACTTGAAAGGTATAACTTGTAGCCACCTCCGGCAAACATCTACATGTTTGTTTTATAAATTTTTTTTTAATTAGTTTAAAATCTGTTTGTCATCTTGGCGATTGTAGTTGACTCAACAAATCATAATAAGGAAATAACCCCTGTTTTTAGTTTCTCTCATGCCACTGCCTAGAAGTAGTCAAAACTTGATGCTTATTTTTGCATAGGTAGACATTCATGGAAGTATTCCTAAACACTCTACAGACTTGTCAAGAAACAGTACTTTTCGTTTAACTAGGCACAAGAAAATTCAAATATTTTTATTTTAGTTTATTTGATTTTATGTGTTTACAAAATCAATGAAACAAAATTTATCTACTTTTTTTATCAAAATTTTTATTGACCTTTCGCTTGCTAATTGTAAAGTACCTAGGAAACATTTGTTGGTTTTTCTAGCTTTGTTAATTTAATTAATTTATTAAAATTTTAATTAACAAAAATTTCTCATGACCAATTTCAGTATTTTAACTACAGAAAGATAGATTTTAAAAAGACTAGCTTATTAAACCTTACCTTACTAAAAAGTAAGGTTTACTGTATTTTAATATTTTGCCTTGTGTTATCTGATTTTATTTTAAGCTATGTCTTTCAATTCAATATCTTGCGTTATTTTAGAGGTTTGTATGCTAAAGATGAGCTTAGATAAAGAAATATCCTATTTGGAGACATGTTTGCAAAATGTTACCGATTCCTTGAGAAAAGGAACGGTGAAGAAGGAAAACTTAGATCAAATTATGTCGAAAATTCGAGTAGCTACTACTGCTTTAAATGATATTTGTATTATACAAGATTACTCTAAGGTAATTTGTAGTTTTTTATTTAAAAATTATGATTTATTATAAATTAATAAGCAAATTTTACAGTTTTATACTAGTTTCTATGTTTGAAATAAGTTTTCTTCAATTTTCTTGCTGTTAAACTAACCCTCTGTAAATGATTGGCGAAAGTCCTTAACTCGAAGTAATCATCAGAAATTCCAGTTATACCTGCCATACAATCCGTAATATGCTTATGATGCAAATTAGTGTTAGAGGCATTATATTTATATGGAGATTCTATTTTCTATCCATATATAACTGCCAGTAATCTTCTAATAATAAAATAATTTTTTCAGAAAATTGAGTCAGTTAAAAAAAAAATTATTTAAGATGGATTGAAAAAAATACTTAGTAAAATTAATAAATTATACTGAGTCTTGACCTTTAATTTTGTCTTTTTTTCTTACATTTCATGAAGCATGTTGCTATTTAATTGAGCAAAATAACTGCAGAAATAACTTTTTTATTTAAGCCATTCACCAGAATCAAAATATTTTTTTAAAAAATTAAATCTGATCGAAGCTCAGATAAACAGTTTTTTTTTTTTTCATTAAAATTTGCTTTACATATTTATTAGGTTATCGAATGATGAAAAGCTAACGCTTTTCAAATAAAGTGAGGTTGTTTGTTTTAATTTTATTTCATGATCAATCATAAGTCTTCAATTCAATCATTTATATCTCCTATTTTTAATCAGATTTTATGACTAATTTTCAAGCAAAATTCTTTTTTTTTTTTCTTTTTTTTTATTTTAATTATAAAGATTAAGTTTGCTTTTTTATTTACTTAACTATTTCAACCAAAGGACTTTTTTTATTTATTGGATTTTTAAATATATTTTAACAAAAGAAGGGCTCATTTTAAAAGCAGAGCTTTTTATTTTAAAATTTTGAGCCTTAAGAATTTTTCAACTTCTATTCCTGACCGTTTTATGAACCTAACATGGATATGTAATTCATGAACATCTAATTCTTGTTACTGGGAACATTTGTTTTGAATTCTATATCATTAAATATTATAAGCAAAATAAATGTAAAAAATAATTACATAAATAAAAATTAATTCACATAACATAATCAAAATATTAGTAAAACATAGCATCTTTATTAAAACAGCGTTAAAAAAAATAGTATAATGTTGTAAATTACAGGAATGAGAAAAGTGTATTCAGTAACCTAGTTCTCTTGCCTAGTTCGCCGGCCATAGGAGTTTTTCGTGTCTTCCTCCCCATGTAACACAAATGCCGATAGATCCATCGAACAGTCCTCCACGAAGGCAAATTTCTCCCTTCTCTTCTGGATTGGGTTCAAAATTACAAAGCTATGGGGTTGGATCGGCTGTTCAACGACGGTTATAAAATAAAATAAAAAGTGAGAAATAAAATACCAACTCAGCGAGGAACCAGCAGATGATATGTATAACAGATAATATATAAACTGGCAGCAAACCTTTATTTTCTTTCCCTTATCGATCCTCACTGAACAGAGTATAGTTCATGCCATTTCTGATAAAAAATAAGCCAGAACTGTTACAATTTGTACTATGAATTTTTAAAATAAGAAGTTCATTAATAAATGAGTTCTGTTTTCTCTTGAGAATGTTTCAGTTTTTCCACAGGTGAAATGGTGACGGTTTGCTTGAGCAGTTGTGTATTTTTTTTCTCATCACTTTCTTATCATAAACCTAAATAATGAACTTATCAACCATTAAAATTAAGAGTAATATTTATCTATAATTCTAAGTGTTGAATTATTTAGCATCTATAGGTTTAAGACTTGTTATCCTACTCATAATTTTAAACTATTTTGAAATCTTTTAGGAGGAAATTACTATTGACGAATTCAGTGATTTTGAAGAATCTTATGGTTTGGAAGAGGAAGATTTGGGCGACATGATAAAAGTTTTTATCTTCATTACATTATTTTTAATTATTTATAACGTTCTTTTTTGAGTATAATAATATATTGTATTCCCAGTTTTTTTAATAAATTTTTTATTTATTTTAATAATCTTTGAAGAATTTTTTTCTCTTCCTAAATTGAATGTATTTACATTATCATCCTTTAATTTCTTTGTCTATGGGTCTATACTGTATTGTCTTAAATCAAAATAATTTACGAATAGTTTTGATGCCGCTTTGCAGCTAATTTTTGGCAGTTATTTTTTATTTCTAAGTTCAGCATTAATTGATTATAATGTAGTATTTTTTTACTGTCATCACAGAAATGTAAAAAAAAAGTAAGATGAATATTTTAAATTGTGAGATAAATTTTTAAAAATTTTTTTTATGGTGATATCTCATTATGCATACTAATTTTTAACAAGCCGCAAGTGTAGAAAAAAAAATTAAAAAAGGGAAAAGCGTTTTTTATTTTCATTGTTCAAAAGTGTGCGAAAAAACTTTCATCCAAATATGAAAGATATAAAAAAAAAAAGATATCTGGCCTAATAATTTGTTTGTAATTATTCTAACATCAACCATCCCTTTTCTTATGTTTGATGTTCATTACGCAAAACATAAGACACTTAACTGTTCACTGAATCATTAAAATAATAATTATAATCAATCATCAGCCTAATAGGAATATTTGGTATTATCAATATAAATGTTGCTCCTTTTTAAAAAGTCAAAATCATGAAAAATTTTTTCATTAATATGTCATCATGGGTAGATATTAAAGTAAATTTAGTCACTGGTCTAGAGGATCAGTAACTAAAAAGATGTAACTAGTCCATACACATTTTCACTGCTCCTTTTACCTGCATCTCTTAAAGTTACTTTAAAAGAAAAATTACAATACAAAGAATTTAAGATGTTTACAATTATAAGGAAAAATGCCTTTTTGTGACAATAACAAAGAGCAAAGCATGAAACAAAATCAAATAACCTAAACAGTATATCATTCTTTTCCATTGATTGCTGTTCTGGGAGACCACTTATAATTATTTAATTGTGGCCAGAGTCATCACCTTTAATTTCTCCTCTACCAATCATTTTAATTGTAAACATGTCTGTTCTTTGATTTATATTATTAATTATATGTTTGGACATATGAATCATTTCAGGATTGTTTTTTTTTTAAAATCCGTGAAAAAGCATTTGATTTAACACTTCTTAAAGCAGTTTCAAATTGAAATATAGATCACAATCAAATAAATATAAAAAGTTTAAATTCCAGTTTCTTCATTTATGTTTATAGAAAGGATGAGATGGAAAAAAAACTCATTTGGTAGTTTCAAAATTATTTTTAAAATTTATTGTGAAATCAAAATCATATTGGATTAATCCAGATTTAAGTATTTTTCTCATTTGTTTAATCTGATTTGAAATAATTTAAATTACAAAATAAAATTACAACTGTGGTGAAAGTTTACTTATCTGACTATTAAATATGTTGAAAAACATCTTTGAGGAGTTTATTTATAAAAAATAGTTTAAAATAGGGGGAAAATAGTTTATGAATCTTTGACTATTTTTGGTTGTTAATAAAAGTGCCAATAAAAAAAAATAAAAACCTCAGTAAATATTATAAATGCTTTTTTGTAATTAAATTAGTAAATAGAATATTATAACATTTATTTATTACAGTTTTTCAAAGCATTTTTCTCCCATATCTCTAAGAATAAAACACAGCAAAAAGCTTTAAATAGGCCCCTTTAATCTTATCAAAAAGTAACATTTTATTTATCATTATCTTTCTTATTTTCAATATGAATAGCAATGGTTGATATGTAACACATTTAGCTAAAAAGTATATCATAATAAAAATCTAATGCTCTATTGTAAATTTTTCAATGCATTTTTAAATTTTTTGTTCGTAAATAAGACTTGTTTAAAATTAAATATTTAAGTTTTGTAGATGAATATTTGAAGAAGTAGTTTGAGGCAATACTTTGCATCAGCTGTACTTTGCGTACCTACTATAATATCTACCAAGTGGTAGGGTATTATAATTTTATACACATTATGTAATGCATTAAGTATAAACTATCAGAATTTATTGATCTCAGTTGCATTGATGAAAAGCAAAAGAAAGGCAATATTGCCATACATGACATCGTTAATGTTGAAGAAAATTCTAGCTCACTCAAAGGATTGGCAATAACACTATTTTTGTGACGTTTAGATAAGCTATGATTTAAATTTCTACTCATTACTTAAGAAAATATTGCAAATAGCTTAGTAGCATCTATAAACACTATTTAATGATAAAAGAAATTTTAAAAAATGCTGAGAGTATTTCCTCCATTATCGATTTATTTTGTAGTTAAATTTTTTTATTACGATAATTAGCGATAAAAAAAAAAGTTGGAGTATTTCTTGAGCTATCAGAGTTTAAGAAACTCCCAAGATTGAAGTTACAAACAATTGTGGACTTCATCACTGAGCATCAACGTGTCAGGAAACACCTTCATGGAATGGGACTTTTTTAACAGGAATCAATATGCAGGAAACTAGAAGGATGTGGAATGAGCATATCACATTTTATATGAGCGTGATGCACTTGCCATTACATGATTTACTACTTAAGGCACTCTCCATCTCAAGGAGCTACACCTCAGCTCTGTTAAGGAATTGCCAGACTTCATAAGCAAAGCAGACAATCCAAAAAAATGGAACTAGAAATAATTGGAGCATTTGGCACAAAATGGTACTAAAGCAGAGATGCCTTACGTCCGACAAGCTCAAACAAAAAGATCAGTTTGAGAAACATTTAAGTCACCTTAATTATCTTTGAATTAAAACAATTTTATTGTTTCAATTACTAAAACAGAGATGCCTTACGTCAGACAAGCTCAAACAAAAAGATCAGTTTGAGTAACATTCAAATCACCTTAATTATCCTTGAATTAAAACAATTTTATTGTTTCAACTACTGATGCAGAGATGCCTTACATTAGACAAGCTCAAACAAAAAGATCAGTTTGAGAAACATTTGAGTCACCTTAATTATCTTTGAATTAAAACAATTTTATTGTTTCAACTACTAAAGCAAAGGTGCTTCACATCAGACAAGCCCAAGATCAGTTTAAGAAACATTTAAGTCATCTTAATTATCTTTGAATTAAAACAATTTTATTATTTCAACTACTAAAGCAAAGGTGCCTCACATCAGACAAGCTCAAGATCAGTTTAAGAAACATTTAAGTCACCTTGATTATCTTTGAATTAAAGCAATTTTATTGTTTCAAATTATTTTTCACCCGAACTTATTTCTTAAATTTTCTTCTTTATTCTTATTCGTTTAGGATCGCTTTTGTTTGAAGAATTTTTTAGTACCATCATCGGTATTGTGAATCGAGCATAAATTTTTTCAATGTCTGTCCATAGAGTTTTTCCATAGAAAATTTTACTTTCTCCAAATTAACTTTTTTTGTGTATAGTTTGGTAATTTATTGTTTATTAACCTATCATAAAATGATTAAATCCATAGAATATTTTATTATTACTTTGAAGGTCTTGTGACTTAAGTCATAAAACTATTATTTAATAGTGTTTCTAACACTAATTTAAAAAAATTGCCACGGTAACTATAAATAAAGTTAAAACAAAGTAAAAACTACAAATAATGTATATTAACATTATGTGTATACAGCATAGTTTTTCTTTTATTTGGATTAATATTTCATCAGAACTTTTATTTGTAAATTAAACACAGCAATTTAGCAACAGCGCAACCATAATTAAGTTGAATTAACTCTTTCCTTTTCCTAAAATAAGACATTTTAAATTAAGAAAAAAATAAACCAAGAAAGCATATCCTTCAAGGAGGGGGGGGGATTGTTTGTAAAATTAATTTTAAAAACCTCTCTCCATTAGTACTGACTTTCACAAGTAATGCATAATTAAAGGAAGGGAAATGAATAAATCTTACGATTTTGGAATTGGATTTCAAATTTTATTGTTTGTATTATGAATTTGTTTAGATCAATTTAGATGAAAATATTTCTAAAAAAAGTAAAAAATAAATCCGTTTCCTGATAATGTTGCATCTTTTAAATTAGCTGAGGTATATTCTGAAATATTTGATTTAATTGAAAACTTTTTTTTGGTGAGTAACGTTTTTAAATTTTTACTTAAATTATTGTTATTATTATTACATGTAAAATTGATTTTGAAAAATAAGTATAATTGAATTACATGATGGGAAAAAATGCATAGGAATTCTGTTAGCATTTTTAACCCTCAACAAATAATTCATAAAATATCTAACTGTTGATAAAACTACAACTATGCAACTTTTTGAAAATAAAAGCAGAGCAGTTGTTGATAAAAAAAAAGAGAAACAACAATATTCATTTAAACTTTATACATCAATATTGTTTCAATTTTAGAGTAATAAAAGTAAAACCTAGACATAATTATTTTGCCTGGAAACTTTCTTGCATTCAAATATTTATTTTTTCTCTTAAATAGTTTTGGTAGATAAGTTACGAAAATGTAATTTTCTAATGTAGATTATCATTCATTTAAGTTAAGGAATCCCTGTTAAAGTATTATATATGTATTAGATATATGTAAAAAATATATAAAGATATATATGTAAAAGATATATTAAGTATTATATATCTTTTTTAAGGCTTGTGAAGATGCTGAAAATAGTTTCAACTCTACCGAAGGAACTACAGAAGTACCAGAAGAAAATGGAAATCTTGTTAATGGCTGTGATTCTGATGTTGAAGATTCAGTGATACTTCCATCAAAAGAAGAACAGTTTGGTAAATTATTGTTTTCATCAAAAAGTTTAAAATTTATTTTGCCCTTTAAATCAAAGATGACCAGACCAACCTTTTGCATGTCATGCCCCAATTTTTTGGCAGACGTGTTCAGATTTGTATGTGACTCTTAACACTTTAATGTGACTCTTAACTGTTAACTATGCCCCAAGAAATAACAACCGTCACACCTGATACTCTTAAAAATATGTTATGAAAAAAAAACTCAACGAAATAAATACTTATGATTTAACTATAAAATCAAAAGGCAAAATATGGGAAAATATTCAAGACAGTTTGAAATTACTCTGTTACCAACCACATAAGGAAGCAATTACCCATTTTCGGTTTAAAACAGGCCACGATTGCTTATCAGAACATTTATATAACATTAAAATTCTTCCCAGCAAAGCATGCCCAATTTGTGACACAGGTGTATTAAACTCTGATCACCTCTTATTGTGCAAGGGACTAGATAGGAACTCCCAGAAAAGTGGGAATGTCACTAAATTGTATTGGGACGCAAGAACTCTCATGAATTGTCACTAACTTTACCTTTTTCATGTTAATGTTTAAAATTTTATATTGTTGAAATGTTTATTGATTCAAATGTTTATTGTTCTTTTTTGTTCACTTTACCTAAATTGTTGAATTGTTTCTTTGTTATTTTTCTGCTCCTTTGAGATGCAATGAGCTGTCAAATTTTCTGGATTGAATTCCTAATAAAGCCATATGAAACACAACACTCTTAACACTTTTATTGTTTTATGTTCATAATGAGAGAATGATAAATCATGATAAAGACTGAAGGAATCTAAATTGCTTAGAGCTGGAAAAGGATACCTTAATCACACAATTAAACTAATTATTTTACACCAGCTTAAATAGAACATCTATCTACAATACTCATGAGTGATCTCTTGCATAAAAAGATAATGAGGGAAAGAAATGTAATCATTATAATCTTGCCAATGGATGGAATGTTAAAAGTTAATAATAACTTTAAATGAATAGTTGCATTGAGTAATATCTGAACTGACTGACACACCACGGTTCGTCCACCTCTGCTTAAAAAGAGTAGTAGTTTAAATTTTTCATTTTGCTAGTTTTAAATATGTATCTATGTATACTTGGTTATCTAGTTTCTGTATGATACTTGGATTTTTAAAAATAGCGATTTTTATTGTTAAAAAATAATGCATAATTTAAAAAATTATAGATTTCAAAATTCTCTTTTGTTAAAAAAAAATTCATCATTTGTACAACAAAATACAGTGAATTCGCGATAACTCGAATCTGATAAGACTGACCAAAAACTTCGACATATCGGAAGTTCGACTTACCGTTAGTTTCGGTTTTGGACTTTCAAAATATTGTCGGATTATTTAATTAATGCTTATTAATTACAAATCTTCTAAATGCTTACAATATTTAAGATCATTTTTCTGACAAGCCATTTACAATAAGCCTGTTTGAAGCACGTTATGATACCCTGGTCCATCAGCTGCAACTTTGCTGTTGTGTTTGGCGGGAGAAACTGCAAGTTTACTGCTTTCAAATTAGGCAGATCACTATGCGCTGTGCATTTATCCATAAAGAGTATCACTTTTCTTTTTTTAGCGAAGAATTTCCGATCCAATTTTCTTACTTAGTCTTCAAATAAAACTGATGTCATCTAAAACTTTTTGTTAGACTTGTAATCCAAAGGATACGTTTTTACATTCTTGAAACATCGGGGATTTCGGTATTTTCCGATAACAAGTAAGGGCATTTCCTCCAACTAGGACAGTCAAACGGTCCTTGCTCATTTCACCCCCTGAGCAGTTTTCATCCTTAACTTAGTCTTATTTGGAAGACATGTAAAAAATGAGCCCATTTCATCAATATTGAAAACATCATTTTATCTGTATCCTTGAAGTAAATTTGGTAATGTTTCATTTAAAAACTGTTCACATACTTCAAGGAGGGACAGATTTAGCTTCTCCATAAAGAGTGCGAAAGACATTGTAGTTGCAAAGGAAGGGGCAAGATATCAGCTCCTAGGTTTTTTTTTTATTGCTTTAAAAGATCCAAAAAAAAAATGAGTTAAAGGGAGTAAAATTCGAGTAATCGAGAATAATTAACATGAAATTGAAGATAAAAGGGTCGGGACCTCATAGAAAAATCGAGTTATAGTAATATTCGAGTTATAGCGAATTGACTGTATACGTAAAAAGACGGTAAATAAAAGTTTCTTATTTAAAATATTTTGTAAACTACGTGTTTTTATAGTGAGTATTTAATACTTCATTTCTATTTTCATAAATTGTTTTAATTACTTTAATTTTAACTGACAATATTTTGTTTATTAGTATTATTTTTATCTTCCTTTCTAGAATGTGATCCTCCATCAGAAGAACATTTTAGGATTCTCAAACAATTTTTTGGACATCCTTCCTTTAGACCGTATGATCTTTTTTATTTTGTATTGCTTTTAGGAATGCAATGAATAGTGATTTGGCGGCTATTAGCAAAAAGAATTTTTAAATCATTATTTAAAATTAATTAAGTATTAGCTGTATTATTGGTATGGGGTAAGGAGAAAAAAACTTTAATAAAAATGTTTAAAATAATAAAGATTGTAAAAAAATATCAATAATAAAATGACTTGATTCTCAAAATAAAAACTGAAAGGCTGAAAATAATATTTTCTGAAAAAAATATAACAGGCACAGTTTTCACAAACAAACACAGTTTTCTATGTTACTGTCTTACTGTACAGAAAAAAAGTGGCAATAAAAAAATAAAGTATATTAGAAACACTCCATTAAAATGCTGCATTATTGTTAATACAGAAAAACAAGCAAAAATGATACAAATTAAAAAAAAACTTCTCAATTTTTTAAACATAAAGTGATGAAAAAACGATGAAATTAATTTGCCTGAATATAATTAAAGAAAACAAATCAGCATTACAAAACTCATGGTTGTATAAAGTAATCTAGTTTCAATTCTTCAAATTCCGCTATTTCATTTGTCTTTCAGAACATAAATTAATAAGTTGTAAATTTTTAATTTAACAAACATGTGTAAAAATAATTTCTAATATTGTATAGTAAAAAATATGATTTTAAGATATGAGTCGTCAGTCTTTGTTCTGCGATGCTGCATGTAGGCAGCTCTCCGCTATCAGTGTCGGTCTGTTATACATATTTTCCTTCCTTATTAAATTTTTTAAGTTCAATTCTAAATTAATTATTGTATTTTTCCTTCATTGTTTCACAAATCACTACATATATACATGTGTGACTCAAATCATTGATGCCTTTTTTAAAATATGCAAACTGAAGAACTGCATATCAAAAAAACAACATGCTAAAAAATTACCAATTTTTACTTCAAAATATTCATGCTCCTGAAAAGTAATTCTTTTTATAATAAATGTTGTTCATATTGTTCCTTTTTGCTCTAATATCATTTTTAAGGCACATAAAAACAATAAAAAATGGAATGACAACATTTTTTTTTGTTGAGATTTTAAATTTGAAAGATGTTTATTAATAGATTTGTGAAGTTTGAAATAAATTTCAGTAGCAAAATATTAAATAAATTTGTACTAATACAGATAGTTATTTTGTTTTCAGTTCAAATTTAGGCTTTATAACAAAGTATCTTTTCTTTGTAGTATGTTTTGGCTTTTAAAGAAAGTTATAATTATATATTCAAAACTTTTAATTGTTTTAAAAATGAAATCATATTATTAGATCTAGTTTTAATTTATTTAAATCAGATTTTTGGAATTCTGGCATCTTATAACGATTCATTTTGTTAACTTTTGTGTGAATGTTGGTTGTGTCACATATGATTCGAAAATGGAATATAATCTCTGATTAGCATTCTAAAACTTCACATAATTCTTAGAGATTATTAACAGTTTAAGTTAAAATCTTGAATTATTAATTTGAATTAATTATTAAAATTTATGTGTTTTTAATTAACCATTGAAATATCATAATAGCAAAATACTATTCTGTGCTGTGAGAAGATGTGATGTGGTGGATTTGTGGAGACAAGTTGTCTAAGAGAGCAAATTTTATATATAAAATTTTCTCTTATCATTTATGCATCTTCTATGAGCATCTAAGATAAAAGTATAACCTATATCATATCAGGTGCTGAGAGCATCATTGATTCTGATCAATAACATGAAGTTTTTACTCATTTCTGTCAAAAATTTTAACACTGACCTACCTGTGAGTTACTGGGACGACAATTTTTCTGACTTTCCAATCTATTATTGTCCTTAAGGAACAAAGGCAGAATAACAATTACTTACAATTATTTTACTCTCTGATTATTTTATTATTATTATTAACTATTTTTACTTTTATTTTTCCAGATGTGTTCAAAAAAAATTTTTTTCACTAAATATTATTTCAAACTTATGTACTTTATTACTGCTTTTTATTATTTTTTTAGAATGCAGTGGAAAATAATTCATAGTGTGCTGGTAGAGCATAAAGATGTCAGCGCAGTTATGGCTACCGGCAAGTACATTTTATAGTGTTTCATAACCGCGTAATAACATATTTTTATGTGGAACACATATGTTCACTTAGAATTATTTTTAATTATATTTTAAGGATTTTTGTTTCTAATTTTACTTTTTATTTTATCCAAGGCTATGGTAAAAGTTTATGCTACCAATATCCTGGTGTGTATTCTGACAAACCTGTAGTTGTTGTTTCACCTTTAATATCATTAATGGAAGATCAAGTCATGTCATTAAGGTAATTTTTTGAATAATTTTAAGCATATATTATCACTCACAAAATTTTTTTGAACTAAGCAATACTAATTCATTTTTTAAACAATAAAAATGTAATCTTTCATTGGGATGATATCAAGAATTTCTTTTTGAAATTTATTTTAAACTCAAAATACATAATTTTTTATTATATTACAAAAATGTATATGTTTAAAAGTGCTATTTTGTTTGAATTAAAATATAAACTTTGCTATATTATAATTATAAAACAACCTTGAATTTCCAGCTGTGAAAAAAAAAAAGCATTACAGTAAGACCTCGATTATCCGAGCTAATTAGGACCGCTAGTACCTCGGATATCAGAAATCTCGGTTAATAGAAANGAAAGATGTTTACCTTACCATCATTTTGGAAATAATCATTAGTGTATTACTCCATCGTTTTTTCTTCTTTTTAAGATTATTTCCACAAAAAAAAAATTTTTTAGTTTGGTTTAACAATAAAAAAACGGCTTTTTGTAGCGAAAATCAGTTATCCGGAATAGCGATGGTCCCGATCGTTCCGGATAATCGGTTCCCTACTGTACATAATTTTTTATTACATTGCAAAAATTTATCTGTTTAAAATTGCTATTTTGTTTGAATTAAAATATAAACTTTGCTATATAATTATAAAACAACCTTGAATTTCCAGCTGTGAAAAAAAAACATTACTTTTTAAATTATGAATTGATTGTAATTTTATAGAAACTGTAAGTCAGTAAATGTAAGAACTTATATTAGTTTCAATGTTAATACGAATTTTATTCTTCTTGAATCAAAATGTATGTCATATCGTACTTTGCTTTGTAATTTTTAATTATAAAAGTGTATCATTTTCTTTGAGATACTATGATTAAAAATTCTTTTTTCCTTATCAATGTCTTCCAGTGTAGCTAATATATCTGCCTGTTTTCTTGGGTCAACTCAAACTAAAATGGGTCAAGTTAAAGAAGAACTACTTCAGTAAGTTTATGCATATAATTTATTTTTGTTATCTTTTTGTTTTGAATGATTTTTAATAAGTCAATCTGATAAATTTATGGTACATTCTGAAAATCTGTCACGAGACTATTAATTGAGCCCTCTGCTGTAAAAGTTGTTAAGAGTATAGTCATAACCCCCAAGTAAAAATATTGCTATTAACAATTAATTATTACAAGCTAATCTTTGAATAGATAAAATCAAGGTTATTTTTATTCAAGCTCAACACCCTTTTGAATTTTAATGAAAGGGAGCCTATTTGTCTGTTTGATAATTTAAAAGAAAATTAGATAAGAAAACATTAAAATAAATAAATTATTCTTAATGCCGACAGAACAAGTCTTTCTTTATTATTTGAATATACTAACTACATGTTATCCCCTCACTTTATTCTCTGGATAGCACCTCCAGTTATCAATTAAATTAATTAACTAAAAAATTAAACTTAAAACAATATCATAACCCTAAAAGTATGTATGTTTATAAAAAAATGATGATTTAAATCACTTGCTGTTTTAAAAATAAAAATCAAGTGAAATTAGATATTTTTAAAAATTTAGGAATAGTTTCAATAGAATCAATTAGATTCATTTGGAACAATATTCAGTCTTGAACGCAATCATTCAAATAATTGAATGATTGTATTTGATTCAAGAATCATAAATTAGTCACATTGAGAATTATATATTATAATATCACAATGAAAATTAACATTAGATGGGGTATTTGGTGACTAAACTATATCGAAAAATGCTCAAAAGTGTAGTGACAGTGGGTTAGAATCAGCTGCAATCATTTCTTTGCGTCGCCCTTCTCAAGTTTGTGCTATCTAATTGTCTTGTATATTCTTGAGTTAAGCCATTCATGTATTGGTTATTATAGCCGTATATGGTTGAAAATAAATTAAAAAAACATTTCGTAAATAATATTGTTATTCTTTTTTACAGAAAAACTTATTTCATTAATTTTCTTGAAAATATCTGACTTATTCGCGAGTATGCATTGTCATTCCTCATCATTGAAAACCTTGCCAATCTAATGTAGTTGTATATCAACAGACAGGGTTCCCACGGTCCTTGAGAGTCCTTGAAAGTCCTTGAATTTTTTTTCGCCAAATTTAGGTACTTGAAAGTCCTGGAAAAACATCTTAGGTCCTTGAAAAACTTGATAGGTCCTTGAATTCATCCAATATTGCTGGTGGCCCTTTTTATAAAACACCCCCGTATTTTTCTCGTTCTTTCTGTTTTGTTCCCGAGCTCTCTCACGTGGTTTTTGGCACCACCATTTCTAGCGGGGCCTAACATCTTGGTGTCTGGCAAAGCGCGCGGAGCACAGCAGCCAATCAACGCGTCCGGGGCGAAACTCCACTTCATTTTCTGTCGCATATGCTTAAATCATTCTTTTCTCTAATCGAAACTCGATTACTCTCGAATTTCGTAACAATATATACCTTGTAGTTTTCCATAAATTTTCCCTTTTACCATCGACACTTGTCCTTCCGTTGGCGTCATTTCCTAACTTTTAGTTGTAAAACGTATTATACAAGAAACGGCTTCGTATTTGTGTTATGTAGTTTAGACTAGTTATGCCTGGGAAGTGCTATTTTAATCCCCAATGGATAGATAATCCAGCTTATAAAGAATGGATTTTATCGGTGCCCGAAAACAAGTTCAGAGCCAAGTGCCGATTATGCATGAAGGAGATCGATATTGCAAAAATGGGAGAATCTGCTCTGAAATCACACATGAAAGGTAAGATGTTTCATTTTTTATATTTGTGCTTAATGAATAAAACTGTTGCATTTGTGATTACTTAGTCTAAGTCTAGCAGTAGCTGAGATTGGAGAAAGGTATTTGGGGTACGCTTATTTAAGATGGTTGAACTGGGACCAAATTAAACATTTTATCAATAAGATAATGTCTGAACTAGTACCGTAATTTCGCGGAGAAACGCCTCTCTCAAAAATCGGCTGAAATAAAAAAGGTTTTTACCGGACACGCAGCACTATCGTACAGGCCCCGACGAATTTTTAACAATTAACGAATTTTTAACTTAACGCAGGTACTGATTAAAAACTTAACGCGTGCTCTAAATACGCATATGTATATAATTTAAATAATTAAATAAAAACCAATAGAAGGATATTGAATATACAAAAAAATAGAAATAATCCTATTTTATAATAGATTTCCAATAACTTTCTAAGTAAAATTAAGCATTTTCTAATTGCAAAGTGAAGTGACCAATAAAATATAAATAAAATAATATATCAAAAATTATTAAAATATGCATGAAAATTTTTAAAAATAAAATCCAGAATCTTGTTTTAGAAATAAATGATAAATGTAAACAAATTTTGTTTAAAAAAAAAAAACTTAAGAATGATTTATTTAGATATCACCTATCACTATATATTTATATCACTGCTCTTAAAAAATTCTTCAAAATCAGAACTCTCTGTACCAGATAAAATTAGGTTTACTAGTTCATTGTTTATTTCTGGTTCATTTCCGTCACTAACACTTTCAGCCTCAATTTCGGTTTTGTTTTGTCTCGGGATGATTTCCGCTTTTTTGAAGCCATGTATCACGGCTTCTTTTTCTTTTAATTGTTGACAGCTTAAACGCAGTGGTATAATTTTTCCTCTTAATAGGAGGTATTTAAAATGAATAACTTAAATACTAGTTATGTTAAAACAAAACTAAAATAGTAGAAACGAAACAAAAATATTAACGGAAGAAAAATATTAATAAAACAAAAACGCATCAGAATTGAAGATAAAACAATAAAAAAAATAAGCTGAGGAAGATGATCGAAATCAGACAGAAATATGAGCATTGTAAAAAAAATCTCTCTAGCAAGTTTCTATATTTAGCATTTCCTCCCCCTATTTTCGCGTCACAAATTAGATATTTTTTTAAAACTGACTCCGCCTAGGACGGTCTTTTATCCCTGTCTAAAAATTCTCACACACTTTGCTTTTTCCCCTCTTCAGGGAGCCTTAGTTGAAAGTTTGAAATTCTTCTAGAACATTTTAATTATAAGACTATTGAAGGTCATCCCAAGCTCATCAGCACTCGTTATTCATCAAACATTCACATGTCAGGGATGAGATTCTTCCGCGGATTTCCGCTTTTTTTTGCTGATTTTTCCATTTTTCCCGCTAATTTCCGCTGAAATTTTTTTTTTTGCACAAGTTAAAATATTTTATGAGGAATTTAATTTTCCACTGAGCGAAATTATTGAAGTCCTTATTCCTCCCTCTGAAGTTTCTCTAAAAATCATTTCCTTGGGATAAAACTGGTTGGCCTTTATACAGGGATGAGATTTTTTTTGTCTCTCGAATTTCAGCCTTTTTATCAAAAACTCCGATTCTCTAAAAGTTTCGTTTTTTTTTTTTTTTATAAATATCCCGCTTTTTTTAAAAAAATTCAGTCGTTGAAGTAAAATAATTAATATTTATTTACGATTTTCAAAGATTAACAGAAAATTGAAACTACGTCCTAGCTGCTAATCCTGCCGCATTTTTACTTATATTAACTATTTTCTCCGATTTAACGAACAGAAAATAAGATTTTCCGTATTTTTTATCCGTCGGCGGAATAGCTCGTATTTTCGTAATTCAGACGTCGCTGCTTCTTGTATTCTGGCGTGAAAACAAACAAAAAAAAGAGAGAGAAAAATAGAGGTGGATTTGCTGTGAAAATATTTATTTGCTCATTCAGTTAATCTCGTAAATTTTTATTTATTATGTCTAATCGAAAACAATGCAAACAAGCCTGTTAGAAATCCCAAGTCCAGACTGCAAATATCTCGATTTTTATTCACACAATTTTAATATCAATCATCGATTTTCGCACTTACCTGATTTAAAAGTTTCGCATTGCGATTCTGATTTACGCTATTTAAATACCGTACATTATGATTCTTATTTACGAGATTTAAAAATCAAATATCGTGTTTTGTATTTATGCATTTTTGAAATCGCGATTTTATTATAAAACATCGATTTTCGTATTTGCCTGATTTAACAGTTGAACGTTGCGATTCTTATTCAGGCGATTAAAATATTGTACATTGCGATTCTTATTTACAAGATTTAAAAAACCAACATCGTGATTTTTATTTACGAGCTTTTAAAACCCCATGTAGCAATTCGTATTCACGCGAGCTTAAAATCCAATGTCGTGATTCGTTTTTGCGGTTGTAATATCACGCGATTTAAAAATTATGTATCATGATCTAAAAATTAAGCATAATGATTTGTATTTTCGCATATTTTAAATTCGATGTAGAGTTTCATATTTACTTGATTTAAAAGCCTCATATCGGGATTTATAATCACATGGTTTACAAGTTTAGATATCGCACTTTTTTTGTCAAATTTTTGTTTATATATATATATTCTTGGATTTCCTCTTTTTTACTTTCTGACTACTCTCATCCCTNTATATATATATATAAACTTCTTGGATTTCCTCTTTTTTACTTTCTGACTACTCTCATCCCTGACATGTTTTTAACAACTAGTTGAAGAAAAAAAGGGAGTGGGGAGAAGCATCCATGACACCTGAAAGAGTTATATTTCCTGAAAAAAATGGAGGGGAGGGGGGACATTTGTTTTAAAGTTGATGTTATCACTGGCCCCACCCTGATTTTCTTCATTTATTCCTTTCTGATTTATGCTTCTCCACGCCCATTTCCTACACTCAACAGCTGTTCCTATGGCAGAAGGGAAAGAGAGACTATGTTCTTTTGTGGATTGTGGTCTCCAGAAAGTGATTCCTGTACTTCAAATTCAACATAAACTAGCAATAATATAAATAAATTTTAATTCAATTAGCGAATTTTTATTTAATTAAATAATTCTATTTAAAGGTTAATATTAATATTTTGATTCTTTATCATAGTTATTGTTTAACGTACGTACATATTCTAGTTCATTTAATTTACATAATGCAAAATATAATTTTTAAAAAAAC